CCCTGACAAGTAACAATCCAAGAATCTGAACTACAGCTATGAACCAGAACAACTGCTTACTCCTGGTGCTACTTCCCTGTCATGTCCTCAGGAACTGTGTCCACTCACGTTCCTATCACTGGTGATAGCCTAGGAGACTTCTGGGGAGAGGCTCTAATATCCATTAGAACAGCAGGTCTTCAAATATGGCCCTCAGACCACTGGGGATCCCTAAGACCCTTTTAGGGTCCAGAAGTCAAAATTATTTTCATAATAATAATATAAATTTTCTTTGTCACATTGTCAACATTTGCACTGACAAGGTAAAAAATATCTTAGCACAAATCAAGGCAGTGCCCAAAACTGTACTAATAGTTGTATTTTTCAGCACCATGCATTAGCAATTTAAGAAATAGGCCAGGCACAGTGATCCCTGTAATTCCAGCGTCCTGGGAGGCTGAGGCAGGAGGATCTCAAGTTCAGAGCCAGCCTCAGCAACTTGGCGAGACCCTGAGCAACTCAGCAAGACCCTGTCTCTAAACAAAATATAAAAAGCTGGGGATGTGGCTAAGTGGTTAAGCACCCCTGGGTGGTTCAGTGTTTAAGTACCCCTTGGTTTGATCCCTGGTACCAAAACAAGGAAGGAAGGAAGGAAAGAAGGAAGGAGGGAAGGAGGGAGGGAAGGAAGGAGAGAGGGAAGAAGGGAAGAAGGGAGGGAGGAAAGGAGGGAAGGAAGGTAGGAAGGGAGGGAGGGAGGGAGAAAAGCCAGCTTCACTTAAGAATATCCTTGATTTCTTGATGAAGCCAGGAGAGGCCAGGAAGGAAAGAAGAAAGGAAGGAAGGAGAAAGAAGGAAGGAGGGAAGAAAAGCCAGCTTCACTTAAGAATATTGTTGATTTCTCGATGAAGCCAGGAGAGGCCAGGCTTGACAATTTAGACCCTGTCTCAAAATAAAAATAAAGGACTGGAGATATATATAGTTCAGTGGTAAAGTGGTCCTGGATTTAATATCAATATAAAAATAATACAATATATATGTACATACACACATATATACTTGATGAAATAGTAGAAAATTACTGATTTTAGTCTGGCGCAGTGGTAATGCTCACCTGTGATTCCAGCTACCCAGGAAGCTGAGGCAGGAGATCCCACTTTTGTCAAAGTGGGTTCCATCCTCAACTAAGTTAAAATCCCAAGTTTGAAGCTAGCCTTGGCAACTTAATGAGAACTTATCTCGAAAAAAAAATAATAATAAAAATAAAAAGGGCCGGGGATATAGCTCAAAGTTCGTGTGTTCCTGGGTTCAACCCCAGTACTACAAAAATAAATAAATAATACAATTTTTTGAAGGGCTGGGGATGGAGATTATTGGTACAGTACTTGCCTAGCACGTGCAAGACTCTGGGTTCAACCTCCAGTTCTGAAAACGGGGCAGGCATTGATATGGTTTCAGAGTCTACACTGCAACTAACCCTTAAAAAATTACCATTTGTCCAAGCTTCGGTGTTGTATCATCAAAGAATACCCATAGTTATCTGGAAAAGCTCTAAGCATGTATTTTTTTCTAACCGCATATTTGTGTGAGGCTGGGTTTATTCCTATCCAGTACTTCAAACAAACCAGCATATCACAACAGATTGCATGCTGAAGCAGATTTTTGAGACTCCAGTTATCCTCTACTAAACAGATACTAAAGAGATTTGCAAAAATTGTATAATTGCTGCACTCTAATTTGGAAAGTATAATTATTTTCCATTTAAAACATTTATGTGAACATGGTTAATGTGTAATGGATTCATTTTTATTATATGTATTCATTAATTTTTGGTATTGAGGGATTGAACCCAGGGGCACTTTTACCACTGAGCTATACTCCCAGTCCCTTTCTTTATTTTTCTTTTCTTTCTTTTTTTTTGAGATAGGGTCTTCTAAATTGCTTAGGACCTCACTAAGTCACCAAGGCTGGCCTTGAATTTGAAATTCTTCTGGCTTCAGCCTCCTGATTCACTGGGATTACAGGTGTGCCCCATCATGCCTGGCCATTTTTACTATTTTTAATGAATTAATAAATATTTTTAAATGTTCTCAGTTTCTATTTTAATATGCAAAGTATTGATAGATGGAACCCACTTCGACAAAAGTTACTTGGGGTCTTTGATCATTACTAAGAGTGTAAGGGAGGGGCTGAGGCTGTGGCTCCGTGGTAGAGCACTCGCCTAGCATGAGCGAGGCGCTAGGATCAATACTCAGCACCACATAAAAATAAATAAAGGTATAAAAAATCACATCAATCTTTAAAAAAAAAAAAAAGACTGTAAGGGGGTGCTGTGGCTGTGCTGGCCTAGAACTTACGAGTTGCTGAGTTTGATCCTCAGCACCACATTTAAAAAAAAAATAATAAAGATACTGTGTCCAACTACAACTTAATAAATAAATAAATAAAGAGTGTAAGGGATACTAAGACCAAAAGTTTGAGGGAACTGTGGCACTAGACTGTGAGTTCCTCTACACTCACACCATATTAGTATACACAGACACACTCCATATTAGTGTATCTAGAACCTGGTATGTAAAAACTTCTGCCTGGTATGTAAAAACTCAGCCTGGTGCTGTGCTAGGCCCTCAGGATTCAGAATTGAAAAACAACAGTCCATGTCTGGAGGACACACAAATGAAGGGGACAAGCATATACAAAAAGTTATAACATGGGACTAGGATGAGAATCACAGGAGCCTGCACCAAGAACAAGCACCTATTAGGTGGAGAGAGTGAGAAGGGAAGGCTTCCCAGAAAAGCTGACACTTGATCTGAGTCTTAGAGGACACCAGGAATCAACAGAGGGGAAGGGCATTTTAGAGAGAGGAAAACAGAATGAACAAAATGTGGAAGCTTTAAGAAAGTTCTTATTTCCAGCTCCTGTACACTGTTCAATCTGAATGCAACCTGGAGTAAAAGTCTGAGTATTGGTGGCAAGGTTGAGAATGAAAGGAGATGAGGCTAGGGAGATAGGCAGGGGCCTAAACAAAGGACCTTCTATACCATATTAAGAAATGTGGATTTTTTACATCTTGGTGGTGGTGGGGGCGGGGGTTAGGGAGGAGTTTTGGAGAATTTGGGATCCTATTTGCATTAACTTTTTAAAGGTCTTTGATAGCTCTGGGCCCTGGTAGCACAAGCCTGTAATGCCAGCAACTTCAGAGGATGAGGCAGGAGGATACCAAATTCCAGGTCAGCTTCAGCAATAAATCCAGGCCCTAAGCAACTTTGTGAGATCCTGTCTCAAAATTTTAAAAAAGGGCTGGGGATGTAGCTCAGGGATAAAGCGTCCCTGGATTCAATACCCACTAGCCCAAAATAAGTAAACAAATGAACAGGTCTTTGGAGCAATGTCAAGGGGTTAAATGAGTTGGGGAACCAGGAGCAAGACCAAAACAGATTCACTCAAGCCGCAGGTTACATGAATTGTGCAAAACAAGTCCCAAGGCGACTTCAAGGAGGAACAAATTTGTAGAATCTCAGGATTAAGTGGATGTGGGAAGTGAAGAATGGGAGAGCGCCCCTGGTAACACCCAGAGTCCAGCAGAACCTACTAGATGGATGTCTTTCGCAGAGTTTGGGAAACACACGGCGATAGGTTGGAGTGAACATTGAGTAGTCAGGTCAGGTCTGTTCTTGTCTACTAAGCAAGCGGCCAAGCAGATCTGAATGCTTTTCCGCGCCCCAACCCCAAGGTCCGGCCCTCAGCCCAGGGTTCCCCACTGCCCCCAACTCGCCACCAAAACCTAAGCCTTCAGCTCCATAAGCCCTGGGGAGTGCGGCAGCCCGCTTCCTCCCGGCTCTCTCCAGGCTTCCTCCGCCAGGTCTCTCCTCCGCATCCCCCTCCTCCGGGGTGAATTTCCACTTCCCCTCCCACCCCGCCCCACCCAGAGGAAAACCTAAAACAAACGCCTTGCGCCACGCGCCCCAGACTTCCAGACCCGAGACCCGGCTCCGGGAGCGATTTCTTAAGGCCTGGATTAGACAGAGCATATCGCCCACCCTGGCTCCCGAAGCCCGCAGCTCCGCAATTCTTCCCCTAGCCCCCAGCCTTCCCAGCCTCGGCCCGGCCCCGCCTCCCCATAGGGAAACATCCCAAAAAAGGGCAGAAAAGAAATTTTGGCATAAAGTTGGCCACTGGGGAAGAGCAGAGTCCGCTGGGGGAAGGGGAGAAGGGAGGGCTCGAGGGAAAGAGGGAGAGGCAAAAGCAAGGGTGGGGACAGACTGATCCTGAGGCGGGGGGGGGGGGGGAGGGACTTTTAGCGGATGGGAGTCCGGGAGGGGAACGCGCCCAGTCCAGCCCGGCCGCAGCCGCGTGGAAAATATGCGGGGCACGTGGGGGGCGGGGCGGGCAGGCGAGGAGCTGGGTCCCCCGCCGCCCGGCGCTTTCAGGAGAAGGGCCCTGGCTCCTGAGCTGGGTTGGAAGGGGACTCTAGGGAAAGAGAGGTCAGGCCCGCCCTGGGGGACAGCAAGCCGGGCCGCGTTCCACAGTGTGACGGGGGCTCCTCCGGCCAGTTTCACCCAGCCCATGGGGAGACTGAGCTACCACCCCCACGCCCTTAACGCAAACTTGCGGTCTGGAACTCGGGGTAAACTGAGGCACTCGAGGCGCGGAGGAGCTCCGCCTCCCAAGAGACATTTAATCTGGGGGGATTTACAGGAAACTTCTAAATTAAGGGCAGCGGCTGCTGCAGCTGAGAGGGGGGGGGGGGGGACACGCAGGTCCTTGTGCCCGGGCAGCTGCCGTGAGCTCACGCCCCGAAATAGCCCCAGGGGCCCCAGCCGCAGCTGCCACTGGGTCCGGCTGTCACTCAGAGGAAACGCGGAGCCCCCCGCCCAAGGGTCCCCTCCCTCCTTCGCAGCGCCAGGAGTTTTACAGCCCACCGCGGGCTACTTTCTCACCCGACGGCTGGCTGGGGGTGGAGGGGATGGGAGGCAGAGGCGGGACCCCAAGGGGCGGGCCCGACGGAGTGTGCGCAGGGGGCGGCTGCGCCCCCGGGCCGGGCCGAGCTTCTGCCCCTACAAGGTTTGGGCCGTGGTGGGGGAGGGTCTTGGTCCCCGGCTCCGCCTGGTCCCTCCCCGCCTTTTAGGCGCCCGCGCAGTTGGGACATCCCAGTCCCGCTCAGTCCTTCTTACCCGGCCCTGGTCCGCCGAGCCCTAGCAGCCAGCCCAGTCCACCAGGTTCTCACCACCCGCCCGCCGGCCCACCCCGCACCGCAGCCATGGACGCCATCAAGAAGAAGATGCAGATGCTGAAGCTGGACAAGGAGAATGCCATCGACCGCGCCGAACAGGCCGAAGCCGACAAAAAGCAAGCTGAAGACCGCTGCAAGCAGGTGGGGGGACCGTGCGTTCAGTGCAACCTCTTCTCCCTTCCCCTCCACTAAGGGTCAGATGGGCCCTTGCCAAACTTGGGCCTGCTCCCAAGGCATTTTCCCACCCAGTAGCCTCCGGGGCCCTCACAGGACCCTCAGGGGCCCAGCAGAAACCACACTCCATTTCACCCATGGCTGCCCAGGGAGCCCGTCCCTCAGTTTCCACTCCTGCCCTTGCATAACAGCGATGGGTCCTAGACTTGAGATTTATTCTCTATCCTCACCAGCTTCCCCCAACATTCTCAACTGGACTGTCCTCTGTTATCCCTCTTCCTCCCCAACAGCCTCCAAATATCTTTTAGTAGCCCCCACGTACACCCTTCCTCCTTCCTAGGCCCTCACCAGGGCCTAGCTGACTTCCTCTCTCCCCTAGCTGGAAGAGGAGCAGCAGGCCCTCCAGAAGAAGCTGAAAGGGACAGAAGATGAGGTGGAAAAGTATTCTGAATCGGTGAAGGATGCCCAGGAGAAACTGGAGCAGGCTGAGAAGAAGGCCACCGACGTGAGTGTGGACTTGGGGGATATGGGGGGCATTAATGAACTGGGGAGGGGTCCCAGGCATGGAGATAAGTAGTGAAGCAGACCTAGATCTTCCCAGCATTAGCACAGAAATAGTTTCCTCTCCGTAACCCAAGCTAGGGCAGGCTTACACAAATAATACAAGACAGTGGGTAAATCAAAACCACCTACCACTTCCCTCCAGGACTTAAGTCTTGTAATTCCATTTGGTTCCAGCTTTTGGAAAGTACAGTGATCCATCCAGTAGTGAGTCATCGTGGGGGTGGGGGTGGGGGTGTGAGAATTTACTGTCTACCTCAATTAATGTTGCTGCTGAAAATGGTAAGGAGACTGCAGCTATATTTGGGGGGTGGAGTGTAAGTGTGAGGTACTAGTGGGTAGAGATAGAGGGATCCAAAGATGGGGCCCTAGCTTGAGTTACATCCCTATGGGACCATTAGAAATTCCCTGGCCTTGACCTCTGGCTCTAGCAGCTCTGCTGTACCCTGGGGCTCCAGCTCAGGTTCTAACGGGCTCCTCATTCACCCTCATTAAGCTGTCAGGCTTCAGACCATGCCAGGCTAATGGGCAGAAGGACAGGGCCACAATGCCAAAGCAGCCACCTTGGCAGGTCCTGCTTACCCTGAGATTTCTCTGCCTGCACCTCCAGCCCCAACCAGACTTGTCTACTTCTTAGGATTCCCAACCCCACCAAATGGTAGAAGAATGGCATATGACTTTAGATGTGGTTCTCACGAATCCCTGTCTCAATGGCCTCATCTGCCTTCCCCCAGGAATTGTTTTAAATTGAAGATGGGCCTGTGGTTAGGGTGTGCCAGTAGTTAGCATAAAGTATGGTCTGAACATCAGGGATGACATTCCTGTTTCTGTTGACCATACTTCATGCTTCCCAACCCCCAGGGTTGGGCCTCTTTGACCTCCAGCCTCCAGTTTTGGTTCTTCACCAGCCCTGGCACATGGGAGGGAACTGACCTGCAGCTGCTAGCAAAGATGACCCTGGGCATTTGATACTCTATAAATAACCAAGGCCCAGTGCAGCTAGAGGCCAGACTGGAAACCCAAGGAGCTAGGTGGGGGCTGGAGGGGGGATGGTGGATGGAGTGGAAAGCCCTGGGAATAGGGACAGGGCAGCAGTGCCAGAAGTAGGGAGGAAACACTGATCAAATTTATAGTGTGACCTTGAACACAGTAGTTATATAGTGCCTCAGTTTCTCCCTTTGATTAAAGAACAGCCATAGCTTTGAGGAACTTGAGCAGCAGGCAATGGCAAATGTCAGACCTGTGATGAGGGCCCTAGTACTTCCCAAACTTGGCCGTCATTTGTCATCCCACCACCATGAAGAGAGTTTTCCTTATACGGAGTCTCATCTCTCTAGAGTAGCCCCCAATATCCTCCTTCCCAACACCAGTGATGTCTCCAGAATCTTTCCACACTGAGTCATCAGGCCCTGAGCCTATGATGGGCTCTTGTCACTCTAGGTGGCCAAGCTCCAGGTGCCTTCAGCACCTGGAGGACAAGCTATAATCCACTTTCTATATATGGTACTGTGTTTCTCTTGCCCTGTAGTGCCACCAGGGCCTGTCTTCTACACCCTCTGCTACCAGTGCTGCCACTCAGCTTCTCCCCTCCACTCACTTTTTCCCTTACACTGGCTCTTTATCCTTTCCAGTCCTAAAATTCTGTGGGGTTGCTGGGCGCAATGGCACAGGCTTGTAATCCCAGCAGCTCTGGAGGCTGAGGCAGGAAGATGGTGAGTTCAAAGCCAGCCTCAGCCAAAAGCAAGGCACTAAGCAACTCAGTGAAACCTTCTCTCTAAATAAAATACAAAATAAAGCTAAGGATGTGGCTCAGTGGTCGGTTGCCCCATAGTTCAATCCCTGGTATCCCCCCACCACACACACTCACAAAAAAAAAAAAACAAAAAACAACTCTATGGGGTCTCTATGGCTTTGAGAGAGAGAAACTTTTGGAGTGTGCTCGTGCAGGCAATGTGCTCAAGTTTTTTCTGCACATTGTTTCATAATTTCCCAAACTTGGCTTATCATCAGAATCACTTGGAAGCTTAAAAAAAAAAAAAAATGATTCCCATTCTTTACCCTGTAGGTCTCAGTTCAGTGGATCTAGCATGGAGCTAGTTTTGTAAGTCTCCCAGATGGTCCTATTGATGAAGTGCTAGAAGCACTACATTATCTCAGAACAGTCTCCAAAAGGAGGAACTGATCATTAACACCAATTTATGAAAGAGGAAACTGAGGCTTAGAGAGACTAAATAAGGTGCCCAAGGTCACACAAGTATTGAGTGGCCTCCATGGCTCCAAGACAGCAGTCTGACTCAGAGCTGTGCTCGTAATACCAAACCGCACTGCTGCTCTTTTTCCTTTATGGGGGCCTGTCTTGCTCTGCCCTCTTTTCTCAGGATGTCCTCAGTTTTTGTTTTTTATGGGCCTTCTCCAAAATCTCAAAGGTTTTGTTTCCATATTGTAAGACCAGGGGCCTTGGTAGGAAGCCCCTCGCTATAACCATGGATGTTGACCTAGTGTGCCCTCTTGGATCCCTTGTTGGTAGTCTGCCTGGCAGCTGGTGACATCACTGAGTTCAATTCTGTGATTGGCCGTTTTTAGCAATGGTGAAGTCTGTTTGGCCTAACTCTTCCCCCTTACCTGTCCTGCACCCACCCACCCACCCTGTGCTCTGCTGAGGAGGAATCAGGGCTACCTCAGACCAGTCTCAGCACTTCAAATGCTCTCAAAAAGAACAGAGTGACCAACCATCAAGAGACTCACCATGCACTGTGCCAGAAGAGGCCCCATGGCCGGGGAGTGAAGCTTGTCAAGTAATGTTTTGGGCTAGAGCAGGGTTTTAACAGAAGATAGTTAGTAGAAAAACAGGTTAAAATCTAGAAGTCAGGAAGCCTAGGTTCTTTCTGAGAGGAGTCTTACCATCCTCTGGAGCCCCTCTGACTCACCCAAGGCAGACAAAGCTTTTTGACCTCTGACCTCTGGCCCACAGGCTGAGGCAGATGTGGCCTCCCTGAACCGCCGCATCCAGCTGGTAGAAGAGGAGCTGGACCGGGCACAGGAGCGCCTGGCTACAGCCCTGCAAAAGCTGGAGGAGGCTGAGAAGGCCGCTGATGAGAGCGAGAGGTGGAGAGGGGCACACGGGGAGGTTCAGGGACAGGGGAGGGAGCCTGTCTCTGCTGGTGCTGACCTCACACTCACCTCTCTCCCTGACTCTCAGAGGAATGAAGGTCATCGAAAACCGGGCCATGAAGGATGAGGAAAAGATGGAGCTGCAGGAGATGCAGCTGAAGGAGGCCAAGCATATTGCTGAGGACTCCGACCGCAAATATGAGGAGGTGAGAGCCCTACCCCACTTCCTTCCCATTCCCAAGCCTCACACCCCAAATCAGTAACCACTGATCTGCTCTCTCCCAATGCTCTCAGGTGGCCAGGAAGCTGGTGATCCTGGAAGGAGAGCTGGAACGCTCAGAAGAGAGAGCCGAGGTGGCCGAGAGGTAAGGATACCCTGGGGTGACCGATGGAACTGGACCTGAGCCAGTGGCTGTGGGATACCCTGCACAGTAGGCAGTCGATTTCCCAGGCCTGGGGTGCCCTAGGGACAGGGTCTATCCTCTGACCCCTGCCTGCTGCCCCCAGCCGAGCCAGGCAGCTGGAGGAGGAACTTCGAACTATGGACCAAGCCCTCAAGTCCCTGATGGCCTCAGAGGAGGAGGTAGTGACCTCTGTGGAACTTTCTGGGCAATGCCACTTTCTTGCAGCTCATCTTCCCTTTCCCACCTCAGCATCTCAGGCTGCTCTCTCTCACCTGCCAAGGGTTGGGAAGGGCCTGGGCTTCCAAACTCTGCCTGCTGTCACTCTCACCACTTGGCTCCTCTTTTCTCTCCTCCACCCTTCCCCCACTATGCATCCTTGCTGTCTCGCCTCACTGTGCCCTCACACCCCACCCTGCCGCACACCCCTGCAGTAAATGTGGGGACCTAGAGGAAGAGCTGAAAATTGTTACCAACAACTTGAAATCCCTGGAGGCCCAAGCGGACAAGGTAGAGGCGGTAGAGGGGTAGTGAAGATTGGGTCCTGCAGGGGAGGGAGGTGAGGGCCCAGGCAGGGAGGGCTGGGTACTCAATGGAGGCAAAGTTAGAGGAACCTGAGGGCCTCTGTGGAGAAATGAAAGACTTGAGAAGGCGAATTACTAATGGCATGTGTATGTCCCTAAAAGTATTCCACCAAAGAGGACAAATATGAAGAGGAGATCAAACTGCTGGAGGAAAAGCTAAAGGAGGTAAGAGCTCTCTTCTAGCTCCCAGTCTCCCCTCAAGCCATCCTTGTCCCTGCCAGAGGCTGCCTGTGACAGGGGATCTGGAACTAGGGATGGGAGAGAAGATTGACTTAGATGCTGAGTCTCTCTGAGATGCTTAATTCTTTACCATGTCACTCATCCCACCCTTATTAACAGGCTGAGACCCGAGCAGAATTTGCTGAAAGGTCTGTGGCAAAGTTGGAGAAAACCATTGATGACCTGGAAGGTAAAGGATACTCCCCCCACACACCTGTCACTGTAGGCCTGTCCCTTATCTCCTCATCGGGTTATATTTACCACTCATAAACTAGGGTTGGACTTACCTAGGACTCCACAAATTCTGGTGGGCTATGCCCACAATTCAAGAAGCTGTAACAAGCCAGAGTGCATCAGCTCTTGTACTTCTTAGACTTGAGCATGCAGAAGGCTCAGGGTATAGTTCCTTGTACAGCACATGTAAAAACCCCCATAGAGGACTGGAGATGTAGCTCAGTTGGTAGAGTGCTTGCCTCACATGTACAAGGCCCTGGGTTCAATCCTCAGCACCACACACACACACACACAAAAAAAAAAAAAAACATAGAGCCGGACATGGTGGCTGTAATCCCAGCATCTTGGGAGGCTGAGGCAGGATTACAAGTTCAAATCTAGCCTCAGCAACCTAGCAAGGCCCTAAGCAATTTCTTGAGACCCTGTCTCAAAATAAAAAATAAAAAGGGCTGGGAATGTGGCTTAGTGGTTAAGCGCCTCATGAATTCAGTAAAAAAAATACCCGTAGATACCTGCATTCTAATCCAAAGTGATTGATTGCTGACCTAGGGCTGGTGAATTTGTATTTCTCACAAGATCTTTGGAAATAACTATGCTGCTGGTCTGTAGAATGTACTTTGCATAATACTGACCTAACAAAGCAAAGCCATCTCCAAGCACAACACAATAGAAACCGATCACAGAGCCTTCTTGATTGAAGAGACAGCTATTTGATGTAGTGTTTGAGTTTGCCTGACAACATTAATGGAAGACACTACATTTGGTGAAAACAAACATCCAGATATTTGCTAGTCTCTGGTTATTTCTGTTATCAACAATGCTGCTGTACTCAAGGTCACCTTTCCTTTTTATCTGATAACTCTTTAACTTTCACAATTCCCAGTGCCTTGCTTCTTCTCAGGCAGGTGCTACTTTTATCTCCAACTTTAGGACTTTAGCCCTCTTTGATTCAAGCACCCTCCCTCTCCTACTTCAGCAAGCATGCCTGCCTGTTCAGAGCACTGTGCCCATAGGTTCCTGGGAGGGCAGATGCTCAGGGGAAGAACCAGGCTGGGGCAAGAGAAGGGCAAAAGAGAGACGGGGTAGAGAAAGGGGAGGAGGGAGCCCCCAAAACCATCCAGCCTGTTCTCTGGTCGCTTTCTCTTACTCTCTCTGCCTCTCTGATTCATTTTCTCCCCATCATCCTTTCTCTTTCCTTTTTTCTTCCCCTACATTCCCTCTTCCCACACTCCCACCTGGCCCCTCTCCCCTGGTCATCCCAGATGAAGTCTATGCACAGAAGATGAAGTACAAGGCCATCAGCGAGGAGCTGGACAACGCACTCAATGACATCACCTCCCTCTGAGCCCACATCAGTGTGACCATCTCAGCCCCCTTCTCTCCCCTCTTTTCATTTTCTCTATGGGGAGGGGCAGATAGGAGGAGCAAAAATTGGCATCATTGCACAGCCAGATTGGGAACAGCCTAGGGAGAGTCTCCATCACCCCTGCTGCCCACTCTGGCACTGGCTTCATCCTTCAATCTCTGCACAATGCCCTCCACCCGCTGCCCTCCAGCCCTCTCTGCTGCCTAATAAACTCTAAACTTGGTCTCCATGCTGTTTTCCTGCCCTCCAGAGAGCATTTCTTCACTGCCACAGACCACTCCTTCACTCCTGAGACCCTGGCTTTTACCGACACACCCAATCTTGTGACCCTCACCTCCTGCCTTGAATCCCCCTACAAAATGCTGTGACCCACACCAAGACCTCTCTGCACTGCAGTCTCTGTCTCTGACTCTCATTATTGCATGTGGGCATGTGTGACCCCATCAAGTACCATGGCCTCCTCTGGTGCCTGTCAGACTTTAGAGCACTTAACTGGGATTCCAGGATCTAACAGAATGATTAGAAAGGAAATAGGGTGGGGTGAGCTACAGGGGAGGGACAAGAAGATCGTGGAATGAAGTTTGAAAAAGTACTGGATATCAGCAACAGGGCTTTCCACTGCAGCTGCAGGTCTGTCTTCCACCTCATTTCTGTCTGTCTGTCTGGTCTTCTCTTTCCTGGCTCAGCCTTTGTCTTTCCTTTGGTTTTCAATTTTTGCTATACCTTCTAAAGAAGGAGGGTAAACTAGTTTATGACTCAAACCTCCCCATTCCCACCTGCATAACCACATAGGCCTTAAGTGAGGCATCTGTCTGTCCTGCTTAATTCATCCAATTGCCCCTGCCAGGGAGCCCATAGGTCGTCCCTAAAGTTTATGTCTTCCTATGTCTTCCTGTGTCTCCTAACCCACCCCATGTCTGTGTCACCTTCCCCTGTCCATGGCATCCCCCTGTCTCCCCCATGCTCCCCGTCTCCCTTCCCTCTCCTCACCAGCTTCCTCCCCTCACAGAGACCTTGGCCAGTGCCAAGGAGGAGAACGTGGAGATTCACCAGACCCTGGACCAGACCCTGCTGGAACTCAACAACCTGTGAGGGCTGGCCCTGCTCCCAGCCAGGGTATAGTTGCCACCCCAACCCAATAAAACTGATTTACCAGCATCCCAGGGCCCTTTAAGCCTTTCTTTTGGTTGCCAATGGAATCAGAATGATTATGGCCTGAGTCCTTGCTCTATGATGGGAACTCCTTTTCATTCAGAGCCCTGGGGAAGGGGTGCTAGGCTCACTGAGGAGAGGTTTGAACAGGCTATGTGAAAGCAGAAGATCTTAAGGGGTGGGGGAATATCCTGACCTTTACTCTTCAGGGCAAAGGAGCTGTCATCTGCAGCACTGCCCTATTCTAATGGGCAGCTGGGTCAAATGATATGTTCTGAAGACAAAACTGCAAGAAAAGACAGATTTTCCTCCAACAGGGTAAAAGCCTAAAAGCCTCAATGTAATTTTAAGCCTAGTAGCTTGTAGCCTACCCCTCCTCCCAACACCCATGCTGACACACACACCCATCTCAGAAATATCAGTCACCTCCATTCTGGATAACATCTGTGGTGGACAGAATAATCCCCCTCCCCCAAAGATGTCCACATTCTTATCCTATGAAATGTTAACTTACATAGGAAAAGGGACTCTGAGCAAAAGGTCTGAGATGAAGAGATTCTTCTATGTTACCTGGGCAAGCCCAGTGTAATCACAGGGTCCTTCCAAGATGGAGAAAGATCAAAGGCAGTAGGACACGTGACAATGAAAGCAGAGGTTGGAGTGATGCGAGGAAGGGGCCATAAGCCAAGGAATGCAGGGAACTTCCAGAATCTGAAAAAGGCCAGGAAACCTTCTACCCTCAGAATGTTCAGAAGGAACTAGCCCCTTGGGCTGGGGATGTGGCTCAAGCAGTAGCGCGCTTGCCTGGCATGCGTGCGCCCGGGTTCGATCCTCAGCACCACATACAGACAAAGATGTTGTGTCTGCCGAAAACTAAAAAATAAATATTAAAAAAAAAATTCTCTCAAAAAAAAAAGGAACCAGCCCCACTGACCCCTGGACTTGGACACCTAAAATTCATTTTGGACTAACTATAAGAATAAATCTGCATTACCACCAAGATTGTGAAAATTTGTTAAAGCAGCAATGGGAAACTAATATACCAACCTTCTGGTTTGAGGGAAAAAGGTGACTTACACATTTTGTTAGGAATATTTATTTTTTAAAAAAATCTGGAAGTTGAGTGCAATCTTGCTTCGCTACTATAAGATCCCATTTCAGTGGCTTTAGGGGGGAAAAGAAGAAGAAGAAACATTCTTTGGAAATTAAAAAGGAATCATCTAGTGGGCAAAATAGGAAAAAGTTTCCAGCTCCCCCCAGAATCCTCTAGCTGGCTTATCTGCATATTTTCCAAGTTCCGGGCTTCTAGGCTCCAGTTTCTGCCATCTCTGGTGGGCTGTAGCTAACACCCTCTTTGGTCCTACTTCTGTGTCTATACAACAAGGAACTTGAATCAGAAAACTGGCCCTGGATGAGTTAATTTGCATGCACTCCACAAAGGGTGGGTGGGAGAGCTGTACTGAAGGAGAGGGTCAGTGAATACCTGTGCTGCCTCCCCATCTGCACAAGGAAGGCGATACTGGTGACAGCAAACAGGAAGCCAAACACCAGGGCCAGGATGTCACCTGAGAGGAAGAGGAGAAGGACCACCTTAAGAGGGGTGCCTGGGGTCCACTGGGTCCCTTTAGGCCTGCTTCAATGGTTGCCACACCATCAGCCCCAGACTTCTGTCTCTGGAAGAGGCCAGCCCAGAGAACCATGGATGCACTGGAAGGTTTTCTTCCTAACAGCTAGGTAAAAATTGTTTGGGAGAGAGGATGCTAGAACATTTGGGGAGCTTCATCCTCATCAACTAAGTCATGGGGTCAGTGGGGGAATCCCCCTCACCAGTCTGACTCTGTCATATTAGGGACAGGGGTCTGTTCAAGGAAGAGGAGAGGAAGCATAGGTGGCCCGATTACCCCCTGGGGCTGAATGATGCTAAGAGTAAAAGAGACACAGACTCACCGGCAGCAAGGCAGGAGGAATTCATGTGGACTGAAGAGAAAAAGGAGACATTAGAGCCAGAGACTGTAACCACCAGTGATAGACTCTGATATAAATGAAGACATGTGAGGAGGAGGGACCTATGGCTGGGGTGATGTAGCAATATGGGACACCAGACAAAGCTGCACCTGGCTCAGGGTGACTGTCCACTTCAACAGGGAAGGAGGCCTCAATCATTCGCCCATTCAAAGGCTGCGTGGCTCGGAAGTTCAGCTGTAGCCGAGAGTCATGAGATTCCCACAGGGAACTGGAGAGGATGTGGAGCTGGGAAGGTCAACGGATAGTACAGGTAGACTCCATAAAATAAAAGAGGGCTGGGGATGTAGCTCACTAGTGGAGAGTTTGCAAAGCATATGCAAGGCCCTGGATTCAATCCCCCAACACCACAAAAAAATAAAAATAAAAAAAGGAAACAAAAGGGTCCCACACCATGCCCAAGTCTTACCTGCTTAGCACTCAGCCTCACTGTCTGATTGAACACAGTCCAGATGACCCCCTGGGCACAGGGGGGTGTGGTCAGAGATCCCTCATATCGGAAATAGCGGCTGAGGTCAGAGGGCAGCAGAGCAGATACATCCAGTCCTGGGACCCAGATCTCTGAGTCTGTGGAGAAGACTTGTTGGTGTCTCACTTAGACTATGTCCCCTTAAAGTTCCGAGGCAGAGAGATACAGTTTCACCTCCCAGAAGCCAACTTAACTCCCTGAGCATATTTCTTCACTATGTGTGGTCCCTTCCCATAACTCCACATAGGACAACTCAAAAGGAAGTAAAGGGCTTTGAGCAATCCGATGAGGCCTCACAGAGTGAGAAAAGAAGACTGAGTCTTCACTCTTACTTTGCATACCATCATAACTTGCTGGATCACCAATTTAAGCCCAGAGTGAATTAAAAAGAAAAAATGAGGCTAGGGAAATAATTCAGAGGTAGAATGCTTGCCTAGCATGGACCTTGCCTTGTAAAGACCTGGTTTTGAACACTGGTATAACTAAATAAATAAATTTGAATAATTTGTAAATAAACTAATATTCATAATTATCAAAAACAGACACAAAACTTCAAAGGCAGCTGGGTGTGATGGCACATGCCTATAATCCCAATCACTGGGGAGGCTGAGACAGACAGGAGGATCACAAGTTCAAAACCAGCCTCAGCAACTTACTGAAGCCCTGCCTCAAAATTAAAAAAAAAAAAAAAAAGCTGAGGATATTTCTCAATTGTGAAGTACCCCTGGGTTCAATCCCCAATGCCACAAAAACAAAACAAAAAACCCTCCAAAGGCACACTTCTTTCCATTTAGCAAAAACCTAAAGGTCCAGTGGAGTAAGTGAAGTTTAAAATGACCCACTGCAACTGAGAAAGATTTCCAACAACTGTTTCTAAAAACTTCAAATATTTGATGATTATGAATGAGAAACAGAGTTTTCAGAAAAAGTGTATCTTTCCACACTCAACCCAGGAATTTCCAAACACTGTTTTTTTTTTTTTTTTTGTCCTTTTTTTCTTTTCTTTTCCTTTTTTTTCTAACTTTGTTTTCAGTTTGGTTTTTGGTTTGGAATCATCAAGCCTATGGGCAACAGCTTGCCTGTGGTCAACTTCACAGTTATTATCCAGATCAAAGCTAGTTCACACCCATCTCCATCCAATCTCCATTCTCAGATCTGAAGCTCTCAAAAGCTTTTTTTTTTTTTTTTTTTTTTAAATAATGGTACTAGGGATTGAAGCCAAGGGCACTCTACCACCGAGCTACATCCACAGCCCTTTTTATTTTGAGACAGTGTCTTGCTAAGTTGCTGAGGAGGGACTTGAACTTGCCATCCTCCTGCTTCAGGCTCCCAAGTCACTGGCATTACAAATGCAGGTATGCACATTGCACAGCTACGTCTTTTTTTCTTTTTTTTCTTTCTTTTATTATTTATTTATTTATTTAGAGATGGGGTGTCACTAAATTGTCCTGGCCTCAATCTTGGAACTCTCTTGCCTCAGCCTTCTAAGTAGCTGGGATTACAAACATGTGCCACCATACCCAGCTCCCCAGGGCAAGTATTTAAGCATTAGGGTATAGAAAGTAGTGGCCAGACCAACAAACTGA